GCAGTACAGAGCATTTCCGATCGGGAGACCGTATGGAAGGAGAAGGAGCTCCACGGGAGGTTCTACAAGGCTCTACATGAGCTTTTCGTAGATACAGTTGCCTCCCTCCACTGGCTACGTTTTGGTGACCTCTTCGGGGAAACCGAGGGTTTTGTCTGTGCAATACAGGATCAGGTTATTAAGACCAACAACTATCGGAGATACATCCTAAGGGATGGCACCGTCGACATTTGTCGAGCTTGTCGCCATCCCGGTGAATCACTTAGGCATGTCGTCTCCGGTTGTTCGGCGCTTTCTAACTCTGAGTACTTGCATAGGCACAACCTAGTAGCCAGGATTCTACACCAGGAGCTCGCTCTGAAATACGGTCTCGTGGATCGGAAACTGCCTTATTATGAGTACATGCCGGAAGCCGTGCTCGAAAATGACCGCGCCAGGCTCTACTGGGACCGGGCCATCATCACAGACAGGACCATTCTTGCGAATAAGCCTGATATTGTGCTGATGGACCGGGCACAGTCAAGGATATTTTTGGTCGACATTACCATTCCGTATGACGAGAACCTCGTGAAAGCCGAAACAGATAAGCGAACAAAATATCTGGACCTGGCTCACGAGGTGACCGACATGTGGGGTGGACTGCCGGCCGAAATTATACCTGTAGTCGTCTCTGCGAATGGGTTAATCCCAATCAGCCTCTCGGGTCATCTGAGGCGACTGGGACTCCGTGACGGAACGCTCCAAGCTCAAATGCAGAAGGCGGTGCTCCTCGATACCGCCCGCATCGTCCGCCGGTTTCTTTCACTTTCCCCCTAACCCTCCCTCGGCCGTTTGGTCTCCCCTGCCGAGGGCTTCCATCTGGTTGGGTTTTTATTTATTTATGTATTTTTTATGCATATATTCTATTTTGTTGATATTTATGTATGTTTATCATTTTCATTTACAATTATATATTTATACAGCCCAACCAGATGAGTAAACTATATAGATGCCCCAAATAATAATAATAATTTATTTTATTTTCTCACCACAATACAGAATTATTGTACATAATATTATAGTATAGCCTCAGCCTATTTATAATTTACATAATATCTCCTTTCATTTACTTAGGATTCTAGATATATTAAAAAGTGGTGCTAGTATTAATGTGTGTGTGTATGTGTGTGTGTGTGTGTGTGTGTGTGTGTGTGTGTGTGTGCGCGCGTGTGCGTGTGCGTGTGCGTGTGCGTGTGCGTGTGCGTGTGCGTGTGCGTTTGCGTGTGTGCGTGCGTGTGCGTGTGCGTGTGCGTGTGTGTGTGTGTGTGTGTGTGTATGTGTGTGTGTGTGTGTGTGTGTGTGAATCAAAATCTAAAAAAACCCGACCACCCCATTTATATGTACAACCTTGGGTATGTGTCTCCGGCAACGCCCTTCTTATAAGGGAACATTACATGAACGCCTTCATTAACTTAGAAATTTTCCGAGTAATACAACTTTCATTTTTTCCATTATATTACAAATGTTATTTATCTTTATTATTGCAATATAATCGACTTGTACTTATATTATTTACAATTTGAATATTTTAAGTTTTTATTATATTTAGAGTACTTAAAAGACAATTTTATGCGTTTACTATACTATAATATTCAATATTCGAAACAAATATATTTAAATTTTGTGTTTATTAATGCACTTTAATTATTTAAAATATAATTTCTAAGATATTTTTAAATATCTTTAAAATTAATTTACTTATCAATTATTAATAATAATTATGAAGCGTCACAATAGTTTGAAAAGTTTTGCTCAGGCTCGTTCCAACTTTTTTTTTAAACTGAAGTAGTAAACGAACTTACAGCCACCTGATGGTAAGTGGATATTTAAGTCTATGGATGCCTGCAGCCAATTTCATACAAAGAAAACTACAGATGCATTGTCACCTCACAAGATATGGATATGGAATACCTCACAGCTTGAAATTATACTGGTTGTGTATAGTCTGTTGGCTAAGATATTTTCGGTACACCCGGAGGCGAACTTATTATTTTCTTTTTATTTTATTATGTTTGTTAAATAAATGTTTTTCTATTCTAAGAATAAAATAGTATTATATTTTATTCTTATGCTTATTGTAATAAAATACAAATATAAATAATAAACACAAGTTAGGTAGCAAAGAACGGCGCTTAATTTTAAAATGCAAAATTCACCTGCCGGTGTACACCGCACCTTTGACAAGATGCGGCACGTGCCAAGGCGGCGCGACACAAAAAAAAACACGACTGTATCTAAGCGAACAGACTATATACGCTTCAAACCGGAGCACAGCAGTGCATGCGCTGCTGTTTATCAGATATACAAGATGTAACAAAGTCACTGTGGTTCCCGTTAAATGCGTTATCAGAATCAGCATTCAAACGTATAGATATAACTTTACTTCAGAAAACACGACGTTAAAAAAAATATTAGTTTTTAACTATTTCATACTAGCTGGTCCCCGCAGCGTTGCTGCCATAGAAAAAAATGAAAAATAATGAAGTTAAATGATATATAAATTTTAAAAAAATGTCGGTATGATGCACTCGTCACCTGCTGTAAATTAATTGCGCTATGCCTATAACCTTCGCACAAATGTAAGTGCGGCGGGTAGGTAAGAACTGCTCAACTCAAATCACGTCGGGGTCACCACTGTGGCGGGTAGGAAGGAAAAGGGGAGATCTCCCGCCGCGCAAGGTGTTCTGTCCGGGGAGCGGCCAACACTCCGACTGGTAGTTCGGAGCTATTCTATATATGCTGCTTTAACTTCGGAACTTTGTTAGTGCGATTTAGGCTTCAACGTGTTTCGCTTGTGGCGCGATGAAAAATCTAATGAACTTATAAAATATGTACGGACAAACAAACATTCATCATCATCATCATTACAGCCCTTCACAAGTCCACTGCTGAACATAGGCCTCCCCCAAAGAATGCCACAAAGCACGGTCCTGAGCCACCTGCATCCATCGACTTCCTGCAAATCTTACCAGGTCGTCACTCCATCTAGTGGGGGGACGCCCTACACTTCGCCTGCCGGTACGAGGCTGCCACTCGAGAACCTTTCTTCCCCATCGGTTGTCGGTTCTTCGAGCTATATGGCCGGCCCATTGCCACTTCAGCTTACTAATCCGTTGGGCTATGTCGGTCACTCTGGTTCTACTGCGGATATCCTCATTTCTGAGTTTATCACGCAGAGAAACTCCGAGCATAGCCCTCTCCATAGCTCGCTGAGCGACCTTGAGCTTCCTCATCCGGCCAGCAGTGAAGGACCACGTCTCAGTTCCGTATGTCATCACTGGCAACACGCACTGGGTGTACAGTCTCGTTTTCAAGTTTTGAGGTATACCTGACGAGAAGATGTGCCGTAATTTCCCGAATGCTGCCCAACCGAGTTGAATCCGTCGATTGACCTCTCGGTCGAAGTTGGCCTTACCTAGTCGGACTATTTGTCCCAGGTAAACATACTCGTCAACAACTTCGAGCTTATTGTTCCCAACAACTACCGGCATAGGTGTGACATGGACATTAAACATGATCTTTGTTTTGTCCATGTTCATCTTAAGACCTATCCGTTGGGAAACACTATTGAGGTCATTGAGCATAGTGCTTAGGTCCTCCAGCGATTCTGCCATAAGGACTATATCGTCGGCAAATCGAAGGTGAGTGATGTACTCGCCATTGATGTTGATACCGTATCCTTTCCAGTCCAGAAGCTTGAAAACATCTTCCAATGCAGCGGTGAAGAGTTTCGGGGATATGACGTCACCCTGTCTTACACCTCTCTGCAATTGGATAGGTTTCGTACTCTGGTTCTGTACTCGGATAGCCATCGTAGCCCTACTGTACAAGCACTTCAACACTTCGATATACCGACTGTCAACTTGGCATCGCTGAAGGGACTGCAGCACCGCCCAAATTTCGACGGAATCAAAGGCTTTCTCATAGTCCACATACGCCAGACATAGTGGCAAATTGTACTCCTCGGACTTCTGTACAATTTGCCGAAGGGTATGTATGTGGTCTATGGTGCTAAAGCCTTTTCGGAAACCGGCTTGTTCGGGAGGCTGGAAGTCGTCAAGTCTGCGCGCGAGACGATTCGTAATGACTCTCGAAAACAGCACGTAGACGCGGCTCAGAAGGGAAATCGGTCTGTAGTTCTTCAAGAGAGCGTTGTCGCCTTTCTTGAAGAACAAGACCACCGCACTTCTGCTCCACGCCTCCGGTGTAATGCCACCATGGAGGACGGAATTAAAGAGCTTCTGAAGGACTTCAAGTACCGGTTTTCCACCCGCTTTCAGAAGCTCCGCTGTAATTCCATCCTGGCCTGGGGCCTTGCCGTTTTTAAGGTGCTGGAGAGCCATTCTAATCTCGCTCAGACTGACGTCCGGGATATCATCGGAATAATGTCGGATAAGACTCGCTCTTGGATCGTTACTCACACTTGCGTGTGGCTCCAACGATGACACAAACAAACATTAATTTTTATATATTAGATTAGTTAATTATTGTGGTTTTATTACTTCTGCATTGGTCTGGGAGTAAGAGTATTGTCAGAATCCACAAACAATTTGCAAATAAAATTTATTATAATTTTTTATGATCGGGTTTTGTGTAGTAATAAAAATAAAAATCAAATTATGTTTAATTTTAATAAATTTGCTTATTAGTACAATCTATAAACGTTAACAAATTAATACAAAAAAAAAGTTCTTACATTTGTCTTTTAACAAATTATTTTGAGTTGTTTACTTCTTTTTCATCAACTTGAGGAGTAGTTTAGTATAGTTGCCGGCGTCTAATTTGGCAAGATTCGTTAGACGCGCAGAAGTCGTTTTTTAGATCTCCTTGGCTATCAAGCGGGGCGAAAGGTACGAGGCATCGTTCCAAGCGCGCGATTGGTTTGTAGTATCTACCTAGTACCTATACGTACGTTTGGGTATAATCTTATATATAAACTTATTAATAACGTAATTACAGTCAGTCTTACGTCAACACTCAAGCGTTTCATTTCTCTCGTCCTTATATGGCGACCCTGCCAGCGGGCGCATCAGTAACGCGAGATGACTTAGTTTGATACCGACCCGTGTGTTCGATGTGCAAAAAAAAAAAAACAACAAAATTATGGTGTTGCTTTTGTTCGCGCTTTAAAATATGTGTAACTCTAAAGTAGAAAAGGAGGACATTTTTATAAACCAAAATGCTGCGGCTACAGAAAATAACGCATATATAAAGGAGTTAAAATATCACGCGTCCACTACAAATATTCTACTACTGGTAATATTGCTATTGATGGCTCTTTTCATCCTCTATATTATATGGAGAGTATACCGAAAAATGCACCACCGCTGGGTCCAGCAGGGGATACATCAGTATATACTCCGTGGATCATTCAGACGTCAACGGGCTACCTTACCGGGTTCTACAGCTGTTATTGATCAAGAAACATAATTTCAAGTGATTCCTAATTTACGTTGTACGAAAAAGTTATTAATATTCTAAGAAAGTAATGTATTGTAAGTGATGTAACCCGAGCAACCTGACTCCGGAATGCAAAACATGCTTTTGTAAGGAACGTAATGGAGAGATGGACTTTGATAGGTATTTGAGTCTATATGTAGCTTACGTAACAACTATTTAATATTAAGTATAAAATATTATATTTGTATAACTTAAAATAAAAAATAAAAAAATAGTAATAATGAATTTTAATCATAAGCATATTTTGTTGAGTTATGGCAGATGATTTAAAAGTATTGTGTCAAGAGCTAAAAATAATTAAAGAATATTTAAGAAAAATTGGTCCTGAGCGTAGAAAAGGTAATATTTACGTTGTTAAGTTAAGTGAAGCAAATAATTTGTATAGCCAATATTTAACATTAAATTCTTATTTGCAAAATGAACTAAGCTGTGGTAATATTAGCGCTAGTGATAGTAAGTTGATAGTCGACTATTCACAGAAATTTCTTTCATTATATAAAGATATTGTAAAATATTCTTCAAGTACACCATCTGAGTCGAAAGAAAGTGAACTTATAAGTAATTTAGGCCAAACTATACCAACCTTAAACATGGATAAATTCGATTTAAAAGTCGCCCTGAGTTTATTACCAGTTATGAATGATGATGAATCTGTAACTAAACAATTAATAGATTCAGTAGAATATTATGAAACCACCCTTACTGTCGATTCTAAGCCCCAATAAATAAATATATAAATAAATTTTGTTTTGAAAAATCGCTTATCGGAATCAGCGAAACTTAAATTACACCCAAGCTATTCCAGTATTTCAGATTTAATTACTGATATGAAAAAAGAGCTTTTGCCGAAAAAATCCGCTACGGCCATCCAATCACGGTTGCTGTACTTCAAGCAGAATGAGCTGACCATTGAGGAATACGGTAAGCAAATTACTCAAATGTTTGTTGATTTAACAATTTCACAAGCAGACAACAACCCGGAAGCATTTAAGGTGCTTAAGCCCTTAAATGAAAGGCAAGCAATCAAGCAATTTGCTGACGGGCTACGGAATCGCAGAACCGGAACTATAATTACAGCACGTAACTTTCTATCTTTAAAAGACGCAATTCAATCAGCATTAGATGAGGAGCCACCAACCACTGCTAAGCCCAATTTTATGACCATAAATAAAAGGAATTCCTATTTTCGCAATTCCAGGGGACGTTATAATCACCGTGGTCATCAATATGGATCGTACAGTGCCCACCTACAGCGCGGCGTTGTAGTGAGCAGAGGCCAACAACGACCAATGTGGCGTGGCAACCAACGAGGTAGACATTGGCGAGGTAATTCCCGCCCATACCAGAATAGTAGAGGTATGAAAAATAATATTAATTTAAAAGCAGGGCAAAACCAAAGTTACGTAAACTTCATTGACCAAAATAATTTACAATCTGAACCCACCTCTGCTAATAATAATAATAATCAATTTTTTCGAGATTAAGGGTCATATGTTTTCATGTAATAATGATTCACGTTTTGTTGAATTTACATTTAACGATTGTTTTACTTTGCATTGTTTAATTGACACCGGCGCATCAATTTCTGCGCTAGAGCTTAAACTTGTTTACACTTACAACATTCCATTCCATAAAGAGAAATGTGTGTTTAGCGGTATCGGAGGTAGTGTTGAGGCAATTGGATATGTGTTTCTCGAATTGAAAGTGCCCCAAGGATCCTTTCAACATAAATTCTTTGTATTTGATACTCTACCTACTAAAGCTACTGCTATAATTGGTGATGACTTTTGCAAAAAGTTTGCAGCGATAATAGATTATGAAAACAATTACTTTTCATTGATTAATTCCAATAATGAACGAATTTATTTACCTACGTTTAGTAATACTAATAATGACTTTTTGCATATTCCATCGCGAACGGAATCTATACATTTTATAAATACTGATATGAAAGATGATTGTGTGGTATGTTCGGAAGAGTTAGCGGAGGGTGTTTACGTAGCCAGCACGTTAGCGAGTCCAGTTAGAGGAAAAATACCTATTCGAATAATAAATACAACTGATAGAGATTTTTGTTTGAGCGACATTAGCCCTAGCATTCATAGAGCGAGTGAGTACTATATGTGTATGTTTGGAGAATCGAATAAAAATGCAGAACGCGTAAAGAAATTATTTTCTATTTTAAAATTACAGGAATATCTAAATGGGGAAGAACAGGTTTCAATCGAAAACATATGTGCAAAATACTGTGACATATTTTATTTACCAGGAGACAGCTTAACTATGACAGATATCTATAAACATACAATCACTTTAAAACCCAACGTAGACCCAATTTATGTAAAACCATACAGATTACCACATTCTCAAAAGGTAGAAATTAAAAAGCAATTGGATAAAATGTTAAATCAAGGGATTATTGAGCCTTGTAAGAGCGAATGGTCAAGCCCTATTCTCTTAGTTCCTAAAAAATCGGAATGTAATGATAAGAAATGGAGATTAGTAATAGACTATCGTAAATTAAATAATTCAATAGTAGATGATAAGTTTCCTCTGCCCAATGTTACAGAAATACTCGACTCTCTTTCAGGTTGTATATACTATACACATTTAGATTTAAATCAGGGTTTCTATAATGTGGAATTAGAACCAAATAGTCGTTAGTACACAGCATTCTGTTCTGGGCAATACCAGATGACCAGAATGCCAATGGGCCTAAAAACCAGTCCCAATTCGTTCTCTAGGATGATGAATATGGCTATGGCGGGCTTAACTTTTGAAAAATGTTTTATTTATCTTGACGACATTATAATTTTTGGAAGAAATTTAGCCGACCATAATAAAAACTTGACTGAAGTATTTGAGCGATTAAAACAAGTAAATTTAAAGTTAAATCCCGACAAATGTACATTTAAAAAAAAAGAATTATTGTATTTGGGTCATGTTGTATCTGGAGATGGTGTTTTACCGGATCCTGAAAAAATCAAAGTTATACAAAATTACCCTATTCCTACTAATACAGACGAAATAAAACGCTTTGTAGCCTTCGCAAACTTCTATCGTAAATTTATTCCAAATTTTGCAGAGAAAGCTTTCCATTTGAACAGATTATGTCGTAAAAATGTACAATTTTATTGGAGTGATGAGTGTCAACGTTCATTCAATGCATTACAACAAGATATGATGTCACCCCCATTACTTCAATACCCAGATTTCTCTGAAAATAACCAATTTATAGTTCAGACTGATGCATCCGGTTATGTTATAGGTGCCGTACTATCCAATAAAAATGGAAAGCCTATAGCATATGCTAGCCGAACCCTAAATAGAGCAGAAAAGAATTACCCTACAATCGAAAAAGAATTACTGTCGGTCGTTTGGGCTGTCAAGTACTTTAGACCTTATTTATATGGCCGTTCTTTCAAAATTTACACTGACCACAAACCCCTTATTTATCTCTTTAACATGAAAGACCCGTCAAGTAGATTATTGAAATTTAGGCTTGCCTTAGAAGAATACGACTATATAGTAGAGTATGTAAGAGGAAGTGAAAATGCCGCTGCAGATGCTTTATCTAGAATACGTATTACATCGAAAGACTTGACAGATATGAGTGAGTGTAGTGTGAATGTAATGACAAGAGCTCAAAAAAAAATGGAAGAGAAGTGTAGTATGACACGGAAGAACTGTGATTCTTTGCATGATATTGTGAATACTGACAATTGGCTTGATCACCCAAGAGTCGTAGAGGTACATAACAAACCAAAGATATCGATAGAATTAAGATTTATTGATAAAAGTGATTTAGAAAAATTACGAAAGAACAATGAAATCGCATGCGAATCTCGAACTTTTATATATGTTTTAAAGAAAATGACTATTTATATAAATCCAGCTATCCGATCACAATTATCGCGAGGCGAATTTGTGAGGGAGCTGTCTGATTTTTGTAAGAAAATAAATATTAACGAAGTATACTTCATGAAATGTAAAGAAAATGATAAATTTATAGAGCAAGTATTAAATGAGATTAAGAGTATTAAAAATTGGTCCGGACCAAGAATTATTATTTTAAAAGAAATTGAAAGAATCTATGACAAAGACGACCAAAGAGTGATATTGAATGACTTTCATCTCCTCCCCACTAGTGGCCACGCGGGTATCAAGAGGATGTTGAATAACATTAAAAAATATTACTTTTGGCCAGGTATTGAAAGAGACATAACAGCATTTGTAAGACGGTGCGACAAATGCCAGAAACAAAAGCATTCCGTTTCCGTTAGGGAGCCTATGACTGTAACGTCTACAGCTCAAACTCCCTTCGAGAAAATTTTCTTAGATATCGTAGGACCTCTAGATAGAGATAGTTATAATTATTCATATATATTAACACTCCAATGTGAGATGTCTAAATACGTAGAGGCATATCCGTTAGTTTCTAAGAGTTCTGTAGAAGTTGCACAGGCTTTTGTAAACAATTTCATTCTTCGCCATGGAATACCGAAGGAGATAGCCACAGATCGAGGTACCGAGTTTATGTCCACAGTTATGAAAGAGGTATGTAGTTTATTAAAAATTAATAAATTAAATTCCACAGCCTACCATCACGAGAGTATTGGTGCACTTGAAAATTCCCACAAGAGTTTAGCAGCATTTTTACGTATATAGACAGACAATCACCCCGAATCTTGGAGTTCTTGGATACCTTTTTGGTGCTTTTCATATAATACTTCCGTTCACCGCGAAACTAAGTATACCCCATTCGAGTTAGTTTATGGCAAAAAATGTAATTTACCCAGTAATTTAACTAAAACCGTAGAACCCCTCTATAATTACGAAGATTATCCGTTAGAGTTAAAATATCGCCTACAAACCTCCCAAAAGGAAGCAAGAGAAAATTTAATCAATAGTAAAATTGTTAGGAAATCCAAATATGATTGTAAAATGAACGCTATAACTTATAAAATTAATGATTTGATATTAATTAAAGAAGAAACTGGTAACAAACTCAGCGCCATTTATTCAGGTCAATATTTAGTAATTAGAGATTGCTCACCGAATGTTGAAATACTAAAAAATGGCAAAAATTACATTGTTCACAAAAACCGAACTAAGTTGTATTATCCTTAAAATAAATGTAGTAAATTTATTATAATATTACATATATAATATTGTAATAATATTATAGTTCATAAGTAATACATTACAGACATTGTGTACTTAATCGATTATAATTATAATAAATTAGTGTATTAAGTTTTATTAATTATTATTACTTTACCTTAATATTAAGTATTATAATACCAATTGTAATCATATTAATCTAAATATTTTATAACTATTTGTTTATGCTTTTACCCATGTTTACATTTTAAAAATTAGAATATAATTATTGTGTAATTTTAAATGTTAGTATTATAAAACAAAAAAAAGAAATGCACATATTCATTTCTTTTTTCTTTGGGAAGGAAGGTGTAGTATCTACCTAGTACCTATACGTACGTTTGAGTATAATCTTATATATAAACTTATTAATAACGTAATTACAGTCAGTCTTACGTCAACACTCAAGCGTTTCATTTCTCTCGTCCTTATAGGTTGGCCAGTCAACTTCCGAGTGCGCGATTGGTTGACCAGTCGACTTACGAGCGCGCAATTGGTTGGCCAGTCGACCCTTGCCTCCCGCAACGTGTCCACGTCCTGTTGTACATGTGTGAACTTTTCCCCACTACACCAAAACCTTGCTAAGTTAGTTGCCGTATTCTATATGTAGGGACACCGGGACACTATAAAATACCGGTTGGATCTCGAGTGAGCGAGAGGTTGTCTCACTCTAGCGGAGCGTCATATCGGTGGTGACGAGTTGGAATATATTGAGACCCCTCCTATTGGATCTCACACTTTTACCATTTTTAACAATTTACGCTATTCTGTTGTACTTTTCGACATGTATCTATATTTAATTGTGTCTGTTGTAGTTTTTTTATGCTTTTCCACAGGTATTAGGTTTTTTTTGTTTTACTAACAGTTTTCTGAATCGTTACTTTCTTTTTATCTCTCTTTTTTGATAAATTATTCAAATGTATTTCTGTCTTTTTGTCTGTACTGAGGTGTAATTTTTTTACCGTTTCTTTTAGTAATAATTATTTTTAACCGCCTTCAAAAAGAAGAAGGTTGTCAATTCGACTGAATGTTTTTTATGTATTTTACCTCATAACTTGTTTCTAGGTGAACCGGCGTTTTCATGATTCTTTTTTTATTTCAAAGCTGGTGCTTCTCATGTGGCTCTCATTGATTAAGGTCTTGCCAGCAGTTTTTGAGTTATCCTTAATAATTTTTATTGAAGTCGGTTGTACAAAATTTTCAATTTTACCACTTGTTACCGTTTCTTTTAGTGATACTTCTTTTTGGGAATGTCACTTTCTACTCCACATTCAGTTATTTCTATAGTAAGGTTATTTCTATAAATATTATTTCATTTCAAATGACGCTTCATTTTAATAGACGCTAGTAATTCATTTATTTGTATTTGTTAATCAATAATATAATACCTACGTTTACGAATAATAATATAATACGCAAGGAACTTCGTTCCAACCGAGTGTTCCACGACACTCATGCATGTATTTTTATATAGAATAAGGGTGACAAAACAAGCATACAGTCCACTTGATGGTAAGTATTAAGAATCAAAATGCAGATGCATTGTCACCATTGAGGACAATGAGTCCTCGTTTTCAGTAAAAATTGTATCCGGTTCACTACACTCATCATACGAAACACAGCAGCATTGAGCTGCTATTTCACGCTGGTATTCTGTGAGAGCGTGGTCCTTCCCCGGTCGAGCCGATCCATTCGTGCTACAACCATAACACAGTGCAGAGGATCACGGCAGGCTCTACCACGTAAAAGTCTGGCACGGCTCCACTACTTAAGTTAATTAATCTTAGAACATCAACTTGCGGTGCACAATTTACTCAACTTGTATTTCCTGTTAAATAGTAATTGCAGTTGTCGGTTCTCACTTCACTCAAATTTGTTGTTCAGTTGTGTTAATTTAACTGGCAAGAGCTTTGGATATCTGCCAGACACTAAATACGCGACCCTGCTCTATACCGAAATTTTATTAAGTTAAAAATATAAGTCATAGTTATAAAATTGGTTAAAACCTTACTAAAATACTAGTGGGTAATGATAACAATGTCCTCCAGACCTAATTTTGGTCACGGCGACCGGCCTCAACGAAGACTAGCCACCTGCACTTTATTTTTTTTTATTTTTTTTTATAGGATAGGGTGACAAACGAGCACACAGTTCACCTGATGGTAAGTGATTGCTGTGGCCCATAGACATCTACATTTATCCTCGTTTGCGAATCAAAATGCAGATGCGTTGTCACCCGTGAGGACTAAGATAGAATGCCTCTTTTCCAGTAAAAAGGGTCTCCGGTTCTCTACACTCACCATACGAAACACAGCAGCATGATGCTGCTATTTCACGCTGGTATTCTGTGAGAGCGTGGTCCTTCCCCGGTCGAGTCGACCCATTCTTGCTACAACTATACTACTAATATAGCTGCAGCATGGCTCTACCACGTAAAACACAGGATAAGATCTCTCAAAATCCGAGACATCTACATTTATCCTGGATTAAGAATCAAAATGCAGATGCGTTATCACCCCTGAAGACTAGGATGGAATGACCCATTCGTGCTACAACGATAATATGCCCTTACATGTATAACACGCCTGATCTCTCCTCAGTCGTGTCGGATTCCACAGCGTCCACTTACAATCAGGTGGACTGTGCACTTACAATGCCTGGTAATGCATTATTTTCACTAATTTTCATTCATAAATATCTAACGCCTACTATTTTACTACGCATGCAAACATTCGTAAAGGTCAATCGGTCGTCAAAAGAGTTGTGAATTGAATCACACACAGACGAGCTCGCGTACGTGTAGTTATTGCCCATAAATCACATTCAATTTGGGATAATCTATATATATATATATATATATATATATATATATATATATATATATATATATATATATTATATGTATATATATATACATATAATCTATATACATATAATAAAAATGTAAATAGCAGACGCCTGTACATTTTATATTTTTGTAATAAAAGTGATTGATGGGTACTAAAAATAAGTAATTAAATACATTTCTACCATTTTTAGAATTTTCTGACCATCTGTCTGTCTGTTTGTTTGTTAACGTATCACGTATAAAGTACTAATTTATATCATAAGAATCGTTAAGAAAATTATAAAATATATATTCGTGTTACATTTAATCTTTATTTTATTAAAATCAGTTCATTCCATCAAAAGTTATGACGAATATTCTGAAGTATGGATACGAAGTATAGGTACGAATTTGTTCAAGGGTGGCGTTGGTTGAGTCATCAAGTGCATTTTAAACTAATATCATATCATAAATCATAATTAAATTATGTAAAATAATGTTCTATAATGATATAATTATATCTAAAACGTAGTAAACAAAAGTATTAAATATACATATACAAAAATATATTAACCTTAATCATTTCTTATATTTACGCGAGCACTACACATTGAATAAAACTACTTTTACGGATTTTATCGCGTTTAATTAACTTATTTTATGCTCCCGACATTTCGGTTGCTTTCCAGCAACCGTGGTCACGGGGGACTAAGGTGATTGACATCCCGATGTCAAAGTTAACCCGGAGTACCTTCAGCTTTTTAATTATTAATTTTTGGTCCGATCTACGCAGAATGAACTAACTGTGTCTTGAAGCCTTGCAGTGGTATGCTTGGGTTTAGTTTTAATTTTACGAATTACAGGATCCCAAGCAGGTGGTAGTACCCAGCCTCCCTCTCTATTGAAATTAGGATGTTTTTTAATTTCAATAGCCTCACGTATCATCCTTGGCAGGAATCGATGTTCTTTCTCGAGAACTTGTGGTTTATCAAATCTAATGTAATGGCAGGGGCCGTCTAGGATATGATCACAAACTGCAGACTTCCCGGAACGTTGGTGCTTCACGTCAGCTATGTGTTCTTTTACGCGGGTTTTTATTGATCGTTTTGTTTGCCCTATATATGAGAGACCACACTCACAATCAAGCTTGTATACTCCTGCATCTTGTAGAGGAATATTGCACTTGACGGATGGTAAGAACTGACTAATCTTCTTCGGCGGCTTGAAGAATGTTCTAATAGAAGCTCGCTTCAAGATGTAGCCAATCTTGTTTGTGACACCTCTGACATACGGTAGTACAGCAGGCACACGCTCGACTGTGGCCGGCTTCACTCGGTCACTGTGACGTAGGTGCGGAACCCGAAGCTTGTTGTCGTGCAGAACCTGCTTGACGTGCTGAAGCTCGGCGGCCAGGTGTTTGCTGTCACAGATCCCTCGTGCTCTCTGCAACAAAGATTTGCCCACGGTAGTTAACTGTGAATGGTGATGGTGGGATTCACCGTTTAAGTATCGGTTTGTATGGGTCTTTTTTCTATACACAGTGTGACCTACGGTGTTATTAGGATTTCGAATGACTAACACATCTAGGAAAGCTAAAGAATTATTTGCCTTTAACTCCATAGTAAATTGAATTTTAGAGTTTATGGAATTAAGATGTTCTAAAAATGCAGTTACTTTGTCTGATGGTAAAATTGTGAAAGTATCGTCTACGTACCGCTTGTAGAAACTTGGAGTTACTGGTGCAGTAAGCAGGGCTTTCTCCTCAAAGTCCTCCGTGAAAAAATCGGCGACAATGAGAGATACCGGTGAGCCCATCGCAACACCATCTACTTGCTTGTAAAACTGTTCCTTCCACAATATATAGCCAGATGTAAGGCAATGTCTGAGTAATACTGCATATTCTGCTGGCATGTTGTTTTCCTCTAGTTTCCTAGTTACAATTGAGATGCAGTCTTCAATAGGTAGGCATGTAAATAGAGACTGAACATCAAAACTGACCATAGTTTCATTGTCAGTAAGACATAGGTCTTTTATCTCACTGACAAAATGGTATGAATCCTTAGTATGTGCTCTTGTATGTCCTCTGAGTGGTGATAGTACTTTTGCTAAGTGTTGAGCCAATCTGTAAGTTGGCGAATCGATCTGACTCACTATTGGACGTAATGGAGCGTTCGGTTTGTGTATTTTTGGTAACCCATACAACTTCGGCTGTTTGGCACGCGCAGGTATTATCGAATTAACGTCTAGAAGAACTTCCGGGAAGTCTGCAGTTTGTGATCATATCCTAGACGGCCCCCGCCATTACATTAGATTTGATAAACCACAAGTTCTCGCGAAAGAACATCGATTCCTGCCAAGGATGATACATAAGGCTATTGAAATTAAAAAAAACATCCTAATTTCAATAGAGAGGGAGGCTGGGTACTACCACCTGCTTGGGATCCTGTAATTCATAAAATTAAAACTAAACCCAAGCATATCACTGCAAGACTTCAAGACACAGTTAGTTCATCCTGCGTAGATCGGACCAAAAATTAATAATTAAAAAGCTGAAGGTACTCCGGGTTAACTTTGACATCGGGACTTGAATCACCTCAGTCCCCCGTGACCACGGTTGCTGGAAAGCAACCGAAACGTCGGGAATATAAAATAACTTAATTAAACGCGATAAAATCCGTAAAAGTAGTTTTATTCAATATATTAACCTTATCAACTAAATCTAAAGTACAATAGTTAACCAATTTCATCAATAAATGGTAGTGTTGTGTAAATGTAATACAAAAAGGCAGGTTGTGGTTTTTCCTGTAAACGACTTTTCATATTTACTGCTAATCTTTATATTACTCGCTGCCCTACTGCGTTGACAAACTCATTTTTTTCTTTACCGCCGAGTACTCTATGTGGTAAATCAAATTTTAAAAGAGCTATTAACAATTTTATTGGTTTCGGCGAGGATCAAACTTTCTTTTTTGATTACTATGCAGCAACTGATTTATACGTTCTTTTGCGTTTTATATAATGTATTAATCGCGTCAATTAATCTCTTTGATTTTTAAAATTGATACTAGCAGCGCCGTCTCTCTTTAAATATATACATATAATAAAAATGTTGATAACATGTTGTCTGTTTCTGTACATTGTATATTTTTGTGACTAAGATCATTATGGGGAACTGAAAATAATGAAATAAGTACATTTTTATAATTTTTACAATTGTCTGTCTGTCTGTTTGTTTATGAATGCATCACGTCTAAAGTAAACATCTTTTTTTTTCAAATAAATCGTTAAGAAAATCATAAAGCGTATGTTCGAGTTACATTTAATCTTTGTTTTATTAGAATTAGTTAATTCTATCGAAAGTAATGATTATTATTTTGAAATGTAGGTTCAAATTTGTTCAATAGCACCATCATCATCATCATCATTACAGCCCTTCACAAGTCCACTGCTGAACATAGGCCATTTGTTCAATGGCACCATAAAATCTCAGAAATAGTAATTAAAAAAATTATGTGTAAAAAAACGTACTATAATAATTAATATATTTATACTTAAGACACAGTAAACAAAAAAATATGTTTTCCTTAAATTAAAAAAAAATATGTTTTCTCACAAAAAGAACGTAATAGATGGAGTTGTACAAATTACAACTTTTTCTGAATTGCGATGTTAAGATTCTCCGCCGGTGAATCGTATTGAGACTCACGGAAGAAATTTATATCCACCTAAGCTATGTAACGGAAGCTGACTAAAAGTAACAAAATTGCAACGAAATGTCGTGATATTGTATTTATACCCAAAATCCTTCTATTACCAAATAACTTTCCTTTCAGTTTTAAGCGCGTTCAGTTCCCAGTCAGCGTGTGTTATGCGATGACCGTAAATAAAGCGCAAGGTCAAACATAACGCGTTGCAGGAGTGGACCTCAGTACTGACTGTTTTGCACATGGCCAACTCTGTTGCTTTTTCCCGCCTTAGTAGCCCCCGTAACCTTTTTGTGTACCTACGCCCCGGCTAAGTCTACTTCTAACGTTGTTTACACAGAAGCTCTATCATAAACGACTTAGAACTTTGAGGATAAAGATTTATTTTGTTACCACTTATTGATATAGTAATGGTATATATCGTTTAATATTCTCTTACCTAAACGTCAAATTCTTTAATAAAACGTATATCCGCGAGCTACGCCGCGGGCACAGCTAGTTTCAAATAAAAATAGAAGACTTATTTACTCGTATTTTCAAAAAGTGTAATAACGGTATATCATTATTTATATATTTGAACTTAAGTTTGAAATTTGCTTACAGTTTCAAAAATAACCCTGTATAAAGGTCATATAAGCTTATTTAGTCTGAGCCAAGTTTAAAATCGACTTGAAATATTAACATCGTTGATTGTTGGCTTTCTTAAGCTGCCGTCCAAATCTCAGAAAACTTTGCAATGTGACGCTCAACGAGAAAATTGTTATTTTTTATATTGTAACTTAGGTACATGATGTTGTGTTTTATGAATTCTTTTTGGCTAAATACCGTGTAGGCAATGTCACAATTAATTTAAAAAATGCTCTTTAAAGCTCACGTAAGCGTATTTCATCCAAGCCAGATTAGGTAGAGAGTAATTGTGTTACGTCATTCAAGCCACAGAGTCACTGTGTACACTATTATGTGTGTAGGTATGATCGTCCGAGCAGTTAATATTCAGTCCAGACAACCCTATAACTTCTCAGCAAAAGTTTCCCCGCTCTAATAAACCCGACTAAGACCTTAAGCCACATCTGCTTTATTGACCGACTTTAACTTACTTTTCCATTGTATATTTGCTTCGGAGCTTCGTACGTAATTCTTGTGTTAATAAAGTCACAGTTATATATAAAAAGTTCAATACAAGGTTCGGTGCAGTCGATTGCAGAGAACTCCAAAGAACTCCTCTCCTCTTCTCTGCAATATAATACAAGCTCCCTCGAAATTTAAATATTTTATTAAACTAAAACTAAAACTCTACAAAAAGGATTATTATAATATAAATGAATACATACTCGTCGTTGATAATAACCCGTGGAAATGAGGTGGTCGCTTTAAATATTTTCTACAACCATGCAATAAGATTTACTTTAAAAAAAGTCCCGCTGGGTTTCTTGCTGCTTCTTCCCAGGACAGAGGGATTTTTCTCGAACCAGTGGTAAAGTAAAAAATAATTTTCAATAAGAATTACACATGTGATCTATATTGACAAAAATTATTCTATTCTATTCTCCTTTTAGTTCCTCTCTTTGCCTCTCCCTCCTCTTCCTCCCCTCCTCTCCTTTCCTTCCCTGTCTTCTCTTTCTCCTCTCATCTCCTCGCTCTTCCTCTTTGTCCTTTTTGTGGCGTCACTTTGGAATGTTACAAAAATGTTTCTTTCTGATTTATATTTTATTTTAATTATATTAGAAATAAATAAACCGAACTTTGAAAGTTCCTGAAAGAAGAAAAATTAAGGTCGCGTTCAGAAAACACGCGCCCGCTACGCGCACGCAACGCGCGTCAAATCCCGTGCGTCTAACTCGCTTTGAAATTCGTTACATATAATTTGAGTCTTATGGCAAATCAATAAATCTGAAATTGCATTTATCGACGTTCAACTGCACACGCCTCGCACACACCACGCGCCCGCCTCGTTCCCGCTCCGCGCCGGCCCCGCGCTCGCCCCGCACACGCGCTGCACCCGCCCCGCTACACCTAGCGCCGGCGCTTCGGCTAGTATCTTATTGACTGTGACCAAGTTTAGTAGCTTGGTAGGTTTTATAATTAAATAATGATGGATGACATCGATAAAGAAACATTTATTTTTTTGGTGGAGGAAAAAGACGTGTTTTTATAGCCACTAGAATGTATAAGCGGACGCGAGGCGTGCGCTAACTGTTGCCGCTATAACAACAAATTAAAGTCAAAGGGGGCTACTAGAAACGTATTACGATGGTACGGAACCCTTCGAAACGGAAACGGAGACCGACTCGCACTTGGCCGGTTTTATTACTTGAACGAGGCATTCCATCTTAGTCCTCAGGGGTGACAACGCATCTGCATTTTGATTCTTAATCTATACAAATAAATAAAATTTAGGTGTCTGTTTGTAATGTCAAAATAACAGCTTTTTTACTAAATGCATATTAAAGTATATACGTCTCTCTGTTTGTTCCGGCTAATCTCCGAAACGGCTGTTTCGATTTCGACGGGACTTTCACTGGCAGATAGCTGATGTTATAAGGAGTAACTTGGGCTACTTATATTTTAGAAAAAGAATTAGGGTTCCGCGCAACATAATTAAAACCCTAAATGACACGCGGGCAAAGTCGCGGGGAACAGTTAGCCGAGAATAAATGTGAAAGAAATGAAAAAATGAAAAAAGGGCCATAGCATCCACTTACCATCAGGTGAACTGTGTGCTCATTTGTTCACCCTTATTCTATTAAAAAAAAATACAGATCCTTTAGCAACTTCACCACCACACGACAACCCCGTGGACCGACCGTCTCTACAGCAAATGACACAATATATTTTAAGGTATTGTAAGTTACTTTGTCTCTTTAGTTTCATAATAAAATTATCGATGTTCCAGGAGCTCCTAGTCATGTTGTCAACGCTTCTCCGTGGCTCCGTTTACGAGAGACTGCGGTGGGCTTTCCGTTTGTACGACGTGGACGGTGACGGAGCTATCACCCGTCAAGAGCTGGCCGAGGTGGTGGTTGCGGTTCATGAGCTGCTGGGCAGGCGCGCACCACCTGGATCACCTGCAGGCAGGCTCGACGATGCGAAAGCGAATGAACAGGTGATGATACCCCCCACAGAATTATGAAACGTAGATTTGGAGAAAAATATTTAGTATATATATATATATATATATCGTACCCTTATTGCAAAAACCGATTATCTGCATTTTTGTACAAAAATTAAGTTAAATATATCAATCGAATCTTCCAGTCACGACAAAGCTACGGGTAAAACCCGATAAATACCTTCAAGTATGATTTAATTATCTTCTTAAAAAAAGAACTAAACTTATTTAAATACTTAAGATTATTAAATGTATACCACAAAAATAGTGTTTCGTATTATAACACTTTTTAGATATAGTTGCTCCATTTATTATTATGTCGATATTATTCTGTTAATAAATATTAACCTGCGTTAACTGGTTGTAGCTTTTATTAATATACTAGAAATTGCTGATGTATCTACCAGTAAAAGAATCTAGACAACGTTAGTTGCTTTTTGCCGAAAAATTTAAAGCATATTTGGTTAAAGTTATTGCAGGTAAAAGAACTTAGATAATTATAGTTTACTTTTACTGTATAACTGGGCTACGACAGTTACCGAATATCTTCCGCTACTATCAATTATCTGTGTTTACTTTTTTTTTTCACTAGGTACATGCGAGACAGTTTCTGAATTAGCTTCGGCTAAAATTCATCTCTTGCGCACGTAAATTACAACGCGCGCTTTTTATACGCGGTTTTCAATCGGGCGTACGTTGTGATTGTCTCGTGCTTATAGAACAAAAATAACAAAAAACGTATTATTCGTTATCATAGTAAAATTTTATAAAATGAGCGTCTCTAAAGGTGATAAAGAAAAAACACCCAACAGCAACATCGGGACCCTTCGTATTTACCTTCTGATCTAGATCGTCCTACTACACCTGAATCTAAGGATTCAAAATTTATACAAAGTGATGAGTTGTTCAATCCAGACAGATATTTAACTAAAGAAGAAAATATTAAAGAAATGCGAAGTAATGCTATAGCCTTATTGTTTGGCAAACCAAAAGAATTTCCTAATAATAACGAATCCCAGTATATAGATAATGGGATTCATTAACGGAAATAATCCCACGAAATAACGGAGGATATATTTAAACTAACTTGGAAAGTTATACAACCACGCGCTGTATGGAGTCGAGATACGTGGAAAAAGAATCTAGCGAAAAGACGTAGAGCTGAAGGCCTTCTATACGTAACTAAATCAAAATATCGAGAACCAAAACTCTGTAAGCCTGTAAAAGTGTTCTAAGTGCAAATTTGACTGCAACAGTAATGTAACCGAAAATATTTGCAAAGAATTGTGCAGGAAATATTGGAACCTAGACTACATTTCGAAAAACCAGTTTAAATTGAGTTTTATTGAAGTCAAATATACAAAGAGGATTATTTTGAACAGAAAACGATCTCCACAGCGCAAGTATACTAAACAATGCTTCTTTATCATTGAAGGAGAGAAAAAAAATGTGTGGCATGATTTTTTTGCAGAACATTAAGCATTTCACTGCATGTGATAGCAGATTCTGTAAAGCACCGCAATAGTTTGGGACAATATTCAAAAGAACAGGACCTGCGCGGATGACGTAAGCTCCCAAATAAAACGTCGCCTGAGATAGTAGAAGTCGTTAAAAAGCACATAGTATAATTTCCTACCAAGGAAGCCATTATATGTGAAAGAAGTTGAAACCCAGGTATTTAGATACTGGGTTTACATTAAGCAAAATGTACGCTCTCTATGTAGAAGAATGCAAAAACAAAAATAACGAACCAGTTGTATTAAAAAATGACATATCAAAGGATTTTCTCTACAAAATTTAATTTAGGTTCTTTAATGCCTAAAAAAGATCAATGTCTTTTATGTACCAAAATTAAGCGCATGCCAACGGCGAAAAAAGTACAAACTACAGAATGATTATGATGGTCATATACAAAGGAAGGAAACATTTAATCGGGAAAAATAAAAAGATAAGACAAAGGGTTAAGAAAGAAACTGATTTCTTAAACAGTTTTGTTTGAATTACAAGCAATATTGCAAATTCCTAGTACTGATGTAGGTCTTCTCTATTATACAAGAAAATTGACACTTCACAATTTAAAAATTTACGAAAAAGCACTTCCCAATGAAGCTTACTGTTTTGTTTGGAATGAAATACATGGTAAAAAAGGTAGTGCTGAAATCGGAAAGATTTCACGTCATTATTTAAAAAGCCAGCTTGTTTTAGAGACGTGTTGCGGCCAAAGCCATAATCATCGTATTGACGCCATACTATTGTGCAAGTACTTATAATGCAAGACACACACATAGACATAATAGAACACAAGTTCCTCGAATCCGATCACAGCTACATGGAAGCTGACTCCATTCACAGCGCCATAGAAACATTGAAGAAAAATTGTGACATCTACTGTATGTCTGACTGGATAAACGTTTTTAAACGAGCTAAGTCTAATAAAGTTTATAAATATGAAGGTAAACAAGTTACAAAGAACGCTTACCATGTTAAAGAATTCAAATACAATAAATTTAAAGATTTCAAGGTATTGGCGGATACGGTAATAATAATAGAAATAGATACACAGAAGGTGAAAAAGTGAACTGGCTCAAGATTAAACGAATGAAGTACCTATATGAAAGGACACGATAAGATTTACTATAATTACGACATGTCTAATGAGTTTATAATATTGGATGTTACTACATCCATGAAAACCAACTTGGGCAAAGGTTTCGTGTGTCGTCGACACGTCGCATACTATGCAACCTGAAACAAGCGTAAGCAACAAGAAGTATTTAATGAAATATCTATGTAGCCATCCAGTTCAGGAGTTATCTTTCCAACCTCACAGCAACTGTACAGCGGACCTCTCCCTATATCCATAGCAACGAAGAAACATCTAATTAATCTTTGCAATATTTTTTTTTTATATAGAATAAGGGTGACAAACGAGCACACAGTCCATCTGATGGTAAGCGGTTGCTGTGGCCCATAGACATCTGCATCTATCTTCGTTTGTGAATTACAATGCAGATGCGTTGTCAGTCGTGAGAACTAAGATAGAATGCCTCTTTTCCAGTAAAAAGGGTCTCCGGCTCTCTACACTCACCATACGAAACACAGCAGCATTAAGCTGCTATTTTACGCTGGTATTTTGTGAGAGCGTGATCCTTCCCCAGTCGGGACGACCCATTCGTGCTACAACTATACTATTAATTTAGCTGCAGCATGCCTCTACGATGTATCAAAAAAATGTGAGTATCATTGGTGGTTCCGGTCTATGTCTACTGAAGCTAGCAGTGTTGATTGCTGCAGCTGCAACTCTCTCTGACACTGATGACACATGTTCTCTGTCTAGCTTGGAAGACTAAACATAGTTTTTTTCTAAAAAAAAAGGTTTTACTTGAGTATTGATTTTTTTAAATTGAATCTATATCTTTACATAGTAAAAAACAAAATCCCTTCCCGCCGTCTGTCTTTCTGTATGTACTCGTACGTATGTATGTAAACTTAGATCTTTTAAACTACGAAACGGATATTAATGCAGTTTTCATCAATAAATTATGGATTTAAGAGGAAGGTTTATACATATGACATTTCCCTAAATTCCTACGGGAACGGCATATACGCGGGTGAAGTCGCGGGGCAAAGCTAAACGCGCTAATCGCTGGAACGGCTGGACCGATTTTAACGGTTCTTTCATTGGAAGATAGCTGAGGATATAAGGAATAACTCAGGTTATTTAAATTTTCTTATTTCCTACCGGAACGGGGTAAAACTGCTGGGCGCGGCAGTTATTACGTACAAAATAAAATAAAATCTACTTTACCTTCAGCCAAAAGCAACTATAGATATTTATTTTACAACTGTACTGGCTATAGATGAACTAACACGATTTCTGTCTAGATGATTCTTACTATTCAAAGCAAGTGATTATGTAAAAAATGCCAATAGAGCTACCAAAAGGGTAGTTTTAGAAATTTGGTAGTTTTTCTACATTCAGGAAAAACCAACTAAATGAGCTCCTTACCGGTTATTTTCTTCTTTTCGTTGAAAATCTAGTAAGTTTTCTTCAATTATTAATCTACTTAACATTTCTTAAATAGTTTCTTGTTTATAAAAACGACTAGCGTTTAAAAATTGACATCATTATAATTAATTTCTGTGCCGTTAAAATTTAAAATGCTTATATCTCAAAAATGTTTTGCTGAAATTTTGGTGCAGATAATCGGTTTTTGCAATATGGGTACGATATATATATATTTAAATATTAAGATCTAGATGTAGTAAACTGAAGTGGCAATGGGCTGGCCATATAGCTCGAATCGGTATCAGCAGCCTCGTACCGGTAGGCGAAATGTAGGGCGACCCCCGACTAGATTGAGTGACGACATGCAGGCAGTCGATGGATGCAGTTGGCTCAGGACCGTGCTTTGTGGCATAACTCGGGGAGGCCTATGTTCAGCAATGGACTTGTGAAAGGCTGTAATGATGACGATGATGATGACGCGCCTGGTCACTCAAGGCGACTTAAAATAAAACAATTCTTAAGCGCCTTATTCATGGTCCATCTTACTGTACGTCCCGCCAAGGTCATGCACGACGTGCAATGCAAAACGACAATGAGTGGGCTTGACGTAATTACGTAATGACGTACATAATTACGTCAATAATTACGTATATATCAAGCCTACCCATTGTCGTTTTGCATTGTTTTGATTTTGCATTTAAACTAGTATTTTGTTTCATAAATAGTTCTTCTCTTGCACTTCCTGCACTGAAGATGGGAATCACTTACATCGTTGAATTAAATAACCGTGTAGTGGCGGTGTAGGAATATCCACTACCCCATATCGTCCAGTGGGTGTCGTAAGAGGCGACAGAGGGGAAACAAACCAGAATATGAGCAGCAGCGTCTTCCTAATTACAACTAAAAAAAACTGTGGTTGCGGTGGCAACTCTGGCATATATCCCCTCTATGAGTCGATCTATGGGAAGATCTTCAGCAGTGGACT